TATTATTATTGCATTATTGTATTATGACTTTGTAAGCCGCCTACAGTGGTCATATCGACCAGATAGGCGGGATATAAATAGAATAAATAAATAAATAAAATAAAAATAAATAGAGGTCCTGCAGAACTTGGAAAGCTAGCCCATTTCTGGGATATTATTGGTATAATAAAGTTATCACCCATCTTTGCTTTTGGATTTCTTTACTGTTATGTTTTTAAAATATTTTAATACCACTGTAGTTTAATATTATCCTTTGTCTAGCTGGTTTTAATATGATAGCTTTTTGAATTTTTATCTAGCTAATGTTGGGAGGTTAAAAAATTTTTAAGCTGCCTTGAGTCTCGGGGTGGGGGTGGGGAGTAATTTAGATAATAATTTCCACAATAGGATTCTGACAGCTGTAGTACAACACCTCTGGAAGGTTTGGGAAGCCTGGTTTAGGTACACAATCATTGAGTGAGCACAATCAGCACCACTGACCAGCACACATTTCTATTCCATCTTTCATCCAGTGAGCTGAAGCAGCATATATGGCTCTCCTTCTTTCTACTTTATCATCACGTCAACCCTGTGAGGGAGGTCATGCTGAGGAGTGACTGGCCCAAGTTCACCCTGTATGTTTCATGGCTCCCTGTCCAACATTAACCAACACACCACAGTGTCTTTTAGTTCAGCAAGTATGTTTATTCAGAAACTCCTCGGAAAAAAAATTAAGGCAATCCATTATCTTAGTGGGTTTTTTTCAAGAGAACAACCAAACACTTATTAGCAGCTCTTCTAAAAAATGTACCACTTCTTTGGACTGCATTTTCCCCCCAGACCCAAGAAATTGTAGGCTATGATTGTCATAAAACCCGCAAATCCACACTTTGCACATACAGCTGTCAAAAGCACCACCAACAGGTACACAGTATAAATGCTGTCAACTGCCACAGATTTCATAGCGGAAGATTTTAAATGACAGTTGTTTCATTTTTTTTTTTTAAAGGAACGAAAAGGACCCTCACATAGCTCATACAAGAGCTGACAAGTGCTACCACGGCTCATTTTCCAGTGACAAAAATAACTATTTTCCAAAATTCACAGCCGGGCTTTCGCCTACATACAGTGCTCTTAAGTAAAACCTGTGGGGAAAAAATGTAAAATATATTGTGTGAAAGCAAATATAACTCCTATTCAAAACTGCTTTTAAAGCTGTTTGCCCTTTTTTTCTTCATAGTCTGCCCCATCTGTGCCTCCAATTATAACCGGGCGGTGTTTTTTTTTTAAATTTAAGGAAAGGAAGTCATGGGGAGGGTCAGCCATTTTCACTTAAGCTGAAGATTCCAATCACTTCCTTTAGATAACACAGGCCATCTTGCTATTAAGGCAGAGAAATAACAGGAGGAATAAAGAAAGGTTCATTTAATACCCTGTAAGGATAATGCTAAGTTGAAGCTTGTATTTAACAGTCCATCAATCAAAGTGGTGTCTTAGGCTAAGGCTCCCAAACACAATTTCTGTGTGACTCTTGCCCCAAGAGGCTGCAGGCAAGGAACACTGCATCTACTACCACTTCAAGGCGGTGCAGCAGAAATCCATCCTCAAAACAACAGGGCCACGGATAAGAATTTTGGCACCAGGTCTCACATTATGTTAATTATCAGTGATCAATGAGGCTATGCTAAAAGGCAGTTGCTTTGCTTTCAAAATGTTTTGTAGGAAGGAAGAATACACGTTATTAGGCAAGGACAAAACAAAAGCCAGGATTGCTTTAGCATGACAGCCCTGAGAAAAAAGTCCCTATTAACATGAACAAAGAACTGGATGGACACATCTTCTTTCTCACTTAGCTTTAATATGGAATGGAACATCCTAGCTACCATAGCTCAGGAGTAGAGATGGGACGAATAAAAAAATGGTGATTCATTTTTAACTATGATTCATCAAGATTAACAGATCAACTAATACAAATACACGAATATTCTTCAACAAATCGATGAATCGATCCGTCGATTCATCTGCACTTTAAATGGTTATAACACTGGGCCCCAACCACCTAGAAGACACCAACTTTTCAGGGAAACTTCGTCAGATGTTTTTCTACAATTCCTGAAAGTGTGGTGAACACTGGAACATGAATCCACGAGTTATAGTGTCACAAATGAATCAATCCGTCGATTCATCTGCACTTTAAATGGTTATAACACTGGGCCCCAACCACCTAGAAGACACCAACTTTTCAGGGAAACTTCGTCAGATGTTTTTCTACAATTCCTGAAAGTGTGGTGAACACTGGAACATGAATCCACGAGTTATAGTGTCACAAAGAGGACCCCCCCCCAGGAAAGCTCCCCCCAGGTGCTTAGACACTCCAGAATCATAACAGAGCTTCCTATGTCTTTCCCCAACACACTTACCAACTTTGATGAAGATTGGATATCAGACATCCATGTTATTCCCCCACAAATTGAGTCCCCCCCCAGGAGAGTTTACCACACAACATAGCGCATTCTGCCTACCAACTGCTGATCAACTGATCAGAAGCCGATAGGCAGCCACCCTCCCCACACAGCCAGCCACCCCAACAGACTACCCCCATAGCCCCTTCCTTTCCCTACCTTAGCCCCCACCCCATCCACACCTGC